CTCTGACACTCGGGCCTCTCCATCCGCAGGCACCCTTCGACGGCTCCCGCCTGGTCTTTCCCCCCGTGCCGGCCTCTCTGGTGATCGCCTTTTTCTACGTGTTGTTGCGGCTCATCCTGCCCGAGGCGGTGGGGGGCACGATGTTCGCTGGGGGCCTCCTGGGCTATGTCCTCTACGACATGACCCATTACTACCTGCACTTTGGCTCACCGAACAAGGGCTCCTACCTGTACAGCATGAAGGCGCACCACGTCAAGCACCACTTTGCACATCAGAAGTCAGGTGAGACAGGCTGGAGCCTCCCCGCCTCCCCTGTTGGCCCGGGATCGACTGGACAACAGCTGTTGAATCCCTGCGAAGGGCCAGGCGTTGTCTTCGGTGCTGGGGCACACACAGAGCTTCCTCCATCCTGCTCACGGGTGCAGGTGGCTGTGCAGAGACAGACAAAGAACAGAAATGCCATTAAAGGAAAATAAAGCAAGGTGATACTTGAGTAACCCTGGGTGGGGGGAGGGGGCCCAGCACTGCCCATTAAAATGCAGTCATGCACCACACAACAAGATTGTGGTGGTCAGCCGTGGACCCTGGATACAGCAGTGGTCGTGTAGGACTATAGCACTTCATCTCATTACAGCTGCCTTAGTTTGTGTAAGTACACCGATGTTCTCACCATGATGGAACTGCCCAGCAAGACATTTCTCAAAACGCATCCCCACCAAGTGACAGGTGACAGCTGTACTATGCAGGCCACATAGATGATTTTAAACTTTCTAGTGGCCACATTAAAAGTAAAAAACAAACAGGCATTTGGCTTTGCAGTTAAGCCACTGGTTAGGATGCCCACATCCCACCTGAGAGTACCTGGGTTTAACACGCAACTCCAGCTCTGACTCCACATTTGTGTTAATGCAGCTCCTAGCAGGCAGCAGTGATGGTTCAAGTAATTGGGTTCCTGCCACCCATGTGGGAGACCTGGATTGAGTTCCCAGCTTCTGACCTAGGCCCTGACCCAGCCCTAACTGTTGCAAGCATTTGGGGAATGAATCGGTAAATAGACTATCTCTCTGTGTCTGTCTCTCTCTCTTCCTCTCAAATAAATAAATAACTTTACAGTAAAAAGATAGAACTGAAAATCATTTTCTTAAATTTATGAGGCAGAGAGCTCCCTTCTGCTAATCCATTCCTCAAATGCCCACAATAGATGGGGCTGGGCCAGAGCCAAAGCTAGAAGCCAGACTTCCCATGTGGGCACCAGGGACTCAATTATTTGAGCCATGACTTCTGCCTCCCAGGGTCTGCACTAACAGGGAGCTGGAACAGGAGCCTGGAATGAAAACCACACACTGCTATAGAACATGGGACTTAAAAAAATGTATTTATTTATTTGAGAGGCAGAGTTACAGACAGAGAGACAGAGAAAGAGATTTTCCATCTACTGGTTCACTCCCCAAATGGCCACAGAGGCCAGAGCTGAGCCAATCCAAAGCCAGGAGCCAAGAGTTTCCTCTGGGTCTCCCACATGGGTGCAGGGGCCCAAGCACTTGGGCCATCTTCCACTGCCTTCCCAGGCCATAGCAGAGAGCTGGATCGGAAGAGGAGCAGCCAGGACTCGAACTGGCACCAAATGGGGTGCTGGTGTGGGCTTAACCTACTATACCACAGCACCGGCCCCAGCACATGGGTCTTAAATGCCTGGTCCTAAAAAGCATTTTAATAAAGTATCCGTTTAATCAAATATAACCAACACACTATTCTAACATGTAACTGACATAAAACACTGGTAATGGGATATCTTACATTCTTTCTCTTAGACAAAGTCTTTTTTTTTTTAAATATATTTATTTACTTGAAAGTCAGAGTTACACAGAGAGAGAAGGAGAGACACAGAGAGAGAGAGAGAGAGAGGGAGAGAGAGAGACAGACAGACAGACAGAGGGGTCTTCCATCCACTTGTGCACTTCCCAGATGGCCGCCATGGCCGGAGCTGCACCAATCCAAAGCCAGGAGCCGTGAGCTTCTTCTGGGTCTCCCACGTGGGCGTAGGGGCCCAAGGACTTGGGCCATCTTCTACTGCTTTCCCAGGCCATAGCAGAGAGCTGGATGGGAAGTGGAGCAGCTAGATCTCGAACCAGTGACCATATGGGATGCTGGTGCTGCAGGCAGCGGCTTTACCAGCTATGCCACAGCGCCAGCCCCTAGACAAAGTCTTTGAAATTCAGGGTCTATTTCGCCCTGACAGTACATCTCAATTTAATTGCTGCATTTTCACTGGAAATACTTGATCTGTATCTAGGATTCATAAAACTGAAAATCTAAAAGTAGACTCACATACGTAAGTTGCCCCAGACATGCCTCAACATTTTCTAGTAGCCGAACTGTCCGTGTTTGCACTGAAACTTAATGAAGTGAAAGCAATAGTTCCGCGGTGAGTGCAGGCACATTTCTAGTGCACAGAAGCCACGTGCTGGGCAGCAAAGCTCTAGAAAAACGGCCCAGGAAGGGGGCACTGCAGAGCTGCCAGCAGAGCTAAGAACCACAAGAAGAAAAGCCGGTGTCCCCAATGTGTGGCCACCGTGGCCCCAGGAAGCAACAGCTCTGGAGCAGGGGTGAACTGTGAGGACCCGGAAGAGGCTGGAGGTGGGAGAGAGGGAAGCAGGCAGGCTGGGGCTGTCCCAGGATCCCAGGTCAGATAAGCAACCTGGGTTAGTTCCCACCACGCCCTGGGGACACAGGAAAGGCAGGTGCTGGGCCGGGCCTCTGCCAGGATGGCCCCAGGGCCTGGAAAGGCTTGGCTTATGCCCTCCTAGCTCACTCCCCAAGCACGCTGACCTGGCTCCTGTTGCACTGCCTCACCTTCTCCCCGTCTGTCTCCCTGTGCAGGCTTCGGCATCAGCACTAAATTATGGGATTACTTTTTCCACACCCTCATCCCAGAGGAACCCCATGCGAAGACACAGTGACAACTCCCAGCACCGCCCCTCACCTGTCCTCAGCCCCGCCCTGGCCCCTGCTCCCCCACCCCCATCCAAACTCTGCTACAGAGCTTGGCTGGGCCAGGCAGCATGGCCTTGTCCCACCCTGGGGCTTGGTAGAAGGTGCCAAGGAGACCCTGAGGCCAGACTGCCTTCCTGGCCACCCCGGGAGGGTCACACACGGGCCTGGTCTCCACGCTGGCGGCCTAGCAGGGAGCCCCAGCCCATGGGACTGTTGGCAGGACCAGCCAAGGGCAGCAGCCCCCAGGGGAATGATGGAAACTGACCCCAGAGCCAGCCCCATGGCCCCCAGCGCCTCAGCACCTCCAGCTCCGTGGGAGCCTGCAGCCCTGTCCACCCCTCCTGCCTTCCTGAGGTCGGCTTGGTGGCCACGAGGCGGATGAAGACGTCTCACCACGTGCGATGATGAAGGAGTCACACCGGAAGGGATGCGTGACGCCTCCCAGGAACCAGCCCAGGTCCCACGGCAGCCCCTCCACCTGTCCTGCCGACCACAGTAGCCAGCTGTGCCTCCGCTGCCAGGCGCGCAGCACCCACACGGTGCCCTCCCCAGCCTGTGCAAGGGCCGGGGGACTGCTGGTGGGAGCCCTGGCGTCACCAGCTGCTCCCTGCCTCCAGAGCCACAGAGCTGCCCCCACCCAGGGCTGGTCGTGAGGCCCCTCCATTGGCAGGAGCCCCACCCAGCCTCAGCCACAAGTGGCCTGCACCGGCCCCCACTCAGGACCCTGCCAGCCAGTGCCTCCTGGAGCCACAAGCAGCCTTCATGGTGCACCTCGTCTCCCGCCCGGCAGATGAGGTGCCCACCTCTTCTTCTTCGTAACCCAACCTCCCCTTTCCCGAGAGGGCCTTATTTATAATCAACCTAAACGCCAGGTCGCTGGCCCAACCGCCCTTTCTAACCCTCTGTGTTCCGCTTCTGTAAAAAAAAAAAAAAAAAAATTATTTGGCCCCGTGTTTTTCCCTTCTCACCCACAAACCATTACTACTTGAAACTGTAAAATCTCAACGAACGTGAGGCTAACGAGAAGCAGTGCTTGCGATCTGTACTGTTTATGGCGGAGCTATTTAAAGATTTTTGAATAAATATCCACAACTACACTTGTGAAATAAAGATGTAAATAAATTGTATATTTTGAAAAATAAAACAATGAAAAGAAATCAACACAGATGCTTTGCTGCATGGTGGCATTGATGGAGGGGGGCCTGGCGTGGCGGGGGGTGGCCCTGGCACTGACCGGGATGCATCAGATGGTTGGCGCAGGGGGGATAATAAAAATGTGACCAAGCCCTAGCCTCTTGCTTGGTTTTATTATTTCTGTTATT